TTTTTTTTTTTTATGATTTTGAGTTTTGTTCCACATTGTTCTCCCACTTTACCCAGGATCTCCTACATAGATTGCCCTCTGAGTGATTGACAGTGGTAGCTGGGCACCATCTAGTTCTTCTGGTCTCATAGTCGTATAGGCTGAGGATCGCATGGTGTACCAGTTCCTTGGACTAATTGTTACCATGAGTCTTTGGTTTTCTTCTTTCTTCTTTGCTCTGGATGAGGAGAGCCCCATTGTTACATGTAGATGGGCGCTTGCAAGCTTTTAAGACCCCAGCTACTACTCACCAAAGTAGGATGTAGAACAATGTTTTTGTGTAGCATGTTATGCCAATTGAGCTTGATGTCCCCCGCGACCATGGTCCTGAGCCCACAGGTCCCACTGCTCACTCCCTCCGGGTAGCTGGCTGTGGGCACAGGGTGAGTCTTACTGCAAGGCAAGTTTGGAAAGCAGTACCTTAAACTTTGTAGGTTTGCGGGGGCCCCGGTAGCCTGGCATTGAAATGCTGTTGAAGAATTCTTGTTCCTTCTAGCTTATCTGCTTTGAATTTTTCTCATTGGTGGTTGAAAGGGCATTAGGGTATCAGCCATATGAATCACTTCTAGACCCTGCTGGCTGGTAGCACTAGGGTTTTTCCAGGCTGACAGCATGAGGTCATTGAAGACCTTGTCTCAATCCAGATGGTTCTCTGTGTGTGAATATTCTGTTAGCAGTTGTTTTGCAGCATCTGGATTTTTCAGAAGCTTCCAGTTTCTTCCCAGCTGGTTGCATCCTAGCAGGGAGACCTCTATGATGGCAACATTCTCTGAGGTTTTGCAAGCTTTAAAGGCATGTTTACTTAGCAAGTGCACCCTTCCACTCTGTTTCTCTCCCCTTTATCTGCTTTCACTGGTTTGTGTGTCCAACAGGTTTATTTTGGTTTAGCTGAGCCTGACAGGTGGGGCGCCTGGGGCCTGGGCTGGGCCCCCTGAGCTGCACTATCCCCACAATCTGTTGCAGATTGGAATGTTATGGTCCGTAGGGGTGTCACTGGCTGAGGTTGTGGAAGTAGATCTCTTCCTAATCTGTGTTAGGCTGGAAGTCCCACCTAACCCTGTTTGGCATCATAGCAACAAACATGCAAGGCTGCACCGATGGAAGGGGACTCAAACCCAGTCTTCCTGCGTGGAAGGCCAGACGCCTACCACTGAGCTACCACTGCCCCACCCTCCCCAGCTCTTTCTTGGTGATTGCTTTGAGGTTTACAGTATGCATCTTTCACTTACCACAGTCTATTATACCACCTTACGTAACCTTAAAATTGCATACTGCCATTTCCTCCCTACTGGCCTTTGTACTCAGGAGCTCTGATGGCATAGTGGGTAAGGCATTTTGGTTGCTAACCAGAGAGTTGGCAGTTCAAATCCACCAGCTGCTCCGCAGGAGGAAGGTGAGGCAATTTACTTCCATAAAGATTTACAGTCTTGGAAACCCAATGGGGGTCTCTGTGAGTTGGAATCAACTCTATGGCAGAGTTTGGTTTCAGTTTTGGCCTTTGTGCTGTTGTTGTCACACATTTGTTTCCATATATGTTATAAATCCTGTGGTATGTTGTTAGTTTTACTTTAAACGGTTAGCTTGTGTAGAGTGAAAAGGAAAGAAAGCGTCTTTTCTGTTTGCTCATTGTGTTTATCATTTCTGGTGCTCTTCGTTGTGTACATTCCGGTTTCCATCTGGTTGTTTTCCTTCCCACTGGAGGACTCCCTGGAACATTCTTTGTAGCATTCTGCTGCTGCCGCTGCTGAAATTTTGTTTTTGGACGTCTGAGAACGTCTTTATTTTGCCTTTGTTTTTGAAAGTTACTTTCCCTGCGTGTAGAACAACAAGGCTTTACTGTTTTTTTAAGGAGCTCTGGTGGAACAGTGGTTAAAGCATTCACCTGCGTACCAAAAGGTCTCCAGTTTGAACCCACCACCCACTCTGTGGAAGAAAGATGTGGCAGCCTGTTTCCATAAAGATTTGCAGCCTTGGAAACTATGGGGCAGGTCTACTCTGTCCTACAGGGTCACTGTGAGTTGGAATCCCCTCAGTGGCCGTGGGTTTGGTTTTTTTGTTTTGTTTTTTCTTTCAGTACTTTGAAGATGTTTCCCCATTGTCTCCTGGCTCGCATTGTTTTAGATGAGCAATCTGCTGTTGTTCTTACGTTTGTTTCTCTGTTTGCAATGTGTTGTCCCCCCCACTTCCCTGCCCCATGGCTGCTTTTGTTTCATCATTGCTTTTACGCAACTGAATTATGATGTGCTCTGGTGGAGACTGTCTTCATGCTTCTTGTGCTTGGGCTTAGTGGAGCTTCTTGGATCTGTGGGTTTATAGTTTTCACCGGATTTGAAATACTTCAGCCAGTAATTCCTTAAATGACTTTGTGGTGAAGTGCTGGAAGTTCTTCAACAGTTCTTGGATGCTCTGTCCATGTTTTCTTCTCATGATGGTTTGTTTCGGGCAGTTTCTGTTGTTCATATCTCCTAGGTCATTCATTTTCTCTTCTGTAGTGTGTAATGTACTTTCTATCTCAGACATTGTAATTTTTATCTCCACAGATTTGATTAGGATCCTTTTTTTTTTTTTTTTTTAAATATCTTCCACGTCTCCACTTAATGTGCTCAGTCCTTCCTGTAGCTTTGTGAATATATGATCTATGGCTGTAATGACTGGTTCAATGTCCTGTGTACTGATTGTGTCATCTGTATAATTTGGGGGTCTGCTCCTGCCAACTGCGTTTTCTCTTCATATCTGCCTTATTTTCTTGGCATGTCTTGATTGGATGGCAGATGTTGTGAATTTTACCTTATTGGATGCTGGATATTTTTGCCTTACTCTGGTA